CCCTTGTCTTTTGTCAGAAATCTTGCCCGGAGTAATTTCCTAAAAAGTCTAGATCAAATTAAAAAACTAAAAAAAGAAGCTAGACTACAGCCTATCTAGATCAGTGTTATTAGTCGCATCATCATTATATAAGTGATTAAATTAAAATGTAACCAAAAATGTTTTAACTTATTTTTGCAACAACCAAATGTAAAATTAGAATAATAATAGCATTTTGCATGTGAAAAAACTGAAGCTTAGGAAAGTTAAATAATTTCTCCAAGAATACACAGTAAGTTGTAGAACCAGTTACCAAACTCAGGTAGTCTGGCAAACCCCCACACCAGCCTGCTCCCAAAAGCCCAGACCCTAAAATCTGAAATCCTAGCTGCCATCTAATTTGAATTGCTTAAACAAATGAATAAATTTATTTTCCTATGGGATAGCTCAGACGTTTAATTTCCTTTTTTTTTTTTTTTTTGAGATGGAGTTTTGCTCTTGTACCCCAGCGCTAGAGTGCACATGGGCACATCCTTGCTCACTGCAACCTCCACCGTTCCAGGAGAGAGCGATTCTCGCCACTGCCTCAAGCCTCCCTAGCAGCGGGATTACAGGCGAGGGGGGGGCGAGCGGCGGACGCGAGGGGGGCCGGGGCCAGCTAATTTGTGTTATTTTAGTAGGAGTGGGGTTTCTCCATGTTGGTCAGGCTGGTCTCGAACTCCTGACCTCAGGTGATCCACCCACCTCAGCCTCCCAAAGTAATGGGATTACAGGCATGAGCCACCGCGCCCAGCCTGTTTAATTTCCTAATGTTTACTGAGACTCTTCAAGAGTGGGAGAGGGATATAATATACAGCATTCCTCAGTTTATTTAGCCACTGAATTTATTTTTTGTAAGCATCTCAAGGAACTTGAGCCCAAATTTTGCAAAACTGCATGTAATATACAATATTGCTTTTGTTCACCTTTTCCAGCTACTTTAAGAAAATATTTATTTTATCTCATTTAGAAAAATTTTTAAATTAAGATATTGAGAACTTGATTTGCCCAAGGTCATAATCAGTTAATACTGGAGTCAGAATTAGAATCTAGGTCTGGCCACAATTTCAGGTGTCTTCTTTTAAAGTTATTTATTTTTAAACACTTTTTTTTTTTTTTTTTGATACAGGATCTCACTCTGTCACCCAGGTTGGACTGCAGTGGCATGATCGAAGCTCACTATAGCCTTGACCTCCCCAGGCTCAGGTGCTCCTCCAATCTCGGCCTCCCGAGCAGCTAGGCCTACAGGCTCACACCACCATGCCTGGTTAATTTTTGTATTTTTTATAGAGACAGGGTTTCACCATGTTGCCCAGACTTGTCTCGAACTCTGGGCTCAAGTGATCTGCTTGACTCAGCCTCCCAAAGTGCTGGGATTACAGGCATGAGCCACCACTCCCAGCCTGAAGTTATTTTTTTAATTATGGAAGGAATACTAGCAGATTTCATTCTAGCAAATCACACAATACCAAGCAGTTACCTAGGTGAATTAAGTAAACCCCATAACAGTAAGTCTTTGTTATCTATTTCTCTATAACCACTTCAAAATTTAATGGCTGTGGCAGGTTGTATTTTTTTTTTTTTTTTTTTTTTTTTTTTTTTTTTTTTTTTGAGAGGGAGTTTCCCTCTTGTTGCCCAGGCTGAAGTGCAATGGCGCGATCTCTGGCTCACCACAACCTCCGCCTCCCGGGTTCAAGTGATTCTTCAGCCTCAGTCTCCTGAGTAGCTGAGATTACAGGTGTGCACCACCATGCTTAGCTGCACCACCACACCCAGCTAATTTTGTATTTTTAGTAGAGATGGGGTTTCACCATGCTGGTCAGGCTGGTCTCGAACTCCCAACCTCAGGTGATCTGCTCGCCTCAACCTCCCAAAGTGCTGGGATTATAGGCGTGAGCCACGGTGCCCAGCCAGGTTGTACTTTTCAAGAGGGTTGTAACAAGATATTCCACACCACATGCTCTTCTTAAATGTGACACTCCTCCCATTAAGAAGTAGAGTCTATATTCCCTCCTCTTGAACTTGGGTGGGCCTGTAAGTAAGGTGGAAGTGAGGCAAGTTCAAAAAAGGTTATACATCTTCCACTTGATTGTCTTAGGAGTGACTCAGAATCCAGCCACCTTGGATATAAGGAAGCAGAGCAACCTCATGGAGAAACCGCATAGGTGTTCCTGCTGATAATCCTAGCCGAGATCCCAGTCAACAGCCAGCATAACTTCAGACGTATGTTGAAGTAAAATAAAATGGAGACCAGGCCTGAAGAATCTCTGAGCAGATGAGCAGACAAAACCAGTTAGGCCTCATGATTGACCTCAACCTTGATTTACAAACACAAGGGAAACTTATGTTGAGCCATTTCTTGTAAATGCCTGTATTAAAGAAAAATAAAACTTAAGCTCAACCAGTTGGAAATAGCCAAAAACTTACATAACTAGGGACTTTCCAACAAGGTGAATGAATGAATAAGGCAACTATATAATTGCAATCAATCAAATTATTTATTTTGTTTCCACATTTACTCCATAAATACTTGCCCCTGATGATTTGTCATGAGAAAAATTAAACTTCTTTCAGTTTGGTATTTCCCGATTCATTAACTGCTTCCTACTCAAATGAACTCTTAAAACCTTTTTTGTGCCTTAGTTTGCCTTTTACATATGTGAATGAGCAATTCCAAATGATTCCAGCCCCAAGCTTTCAAGTCATCTCAGGCTTCCAAGTCTTCTCAGCTGAAGTCTCAGTGATTCTGAAGCAGAAACAAGTCATCCCCACTATACCCTTTTCAAATTCTTGACCCACAGAATCCATGACATAATAAACTGGTTGCTGTTTTATACCAGTAAGTTTGGAGTGGTTTGTTACACAGCAATAGGTAATTGGAACACTTCCTTATCTTCCCCAAGGTAGCATCTTGGTGAAGGTGGAGCAACCAATGACCTAGAGGTAGTAGAAAAAGGAGGCAACCTCAGGTCTCTGTGGCTGAACTCTGGCACTCTAATGTTCTCAGATGTGTTGGGCTGGCCTTGTCCCTGGGTACTTTGTGCTGAACAAGGTGCAGCTTTTTTCTGCTGGGCCTTTTGGAGTATCAGCCTAACATGAACCTCTCAAGTCCATGGTCTCATACCATTCTATTTGCCTCTAGTTGCCAAGTGCCTGCCCAGTGGGCTTCCTTGTCTTATTCCCAGACTTCTACAAAAGACATTTATTCTTGTCTAGGTATCTTCCCTTGGAAGGAGATGGGAGTCAAATCTGTTCAAAATCCATTCCTCTCTCCATACCCCCAACTCCTGATAGGGCTGGGTGAAGTTCTCACCACCTACTCCTAAGGGTTTTATTTATTTATTTATTTATTTTTATACATATTTTTTGAGACAGAGTCTCGCACCCATGCTGGAGTACAGTGGTGTGATCTCGGCTCACTGCCAGCTCTGCCTCCCGGGTTCACACCATTCTCCTGCCTCAGCCTCCCGAATAGCTGGGACTACAGGCGCCCGCCACCATGCCTGGCTAATTTTTTATATTTTTAGTAGAGATGGGGTTTCACTGTGTTAGCCAGGATGGTCTCGATTTCCTGACCTCGTGATCTGCCCCCCTCGGCCTCCCAAAGTGCTGGGATTACAAGCGTGAGCCACCGCGACCGGCCTCCTAAGGGTTTTAAAAGCCATTCCTGGCCGGGAAACACATTCTTTGTAGGACTGGTTTCAAGTGGTGCACCAGTGTAAAAAGGGATTTGCGGGCAATCAGTATAAATTATTTGGGTTTGGATCTAGCTCCGTCACTTAATATAAGGGGATCTCAGGCATGTCTCTACAATTTTATTTCTTCTTCTGTAATATCTTGATAATGGTTACTTAATAAGATTATTAAAAGGATTAGATGACACTGTAAATTTACTTAAGTCTGATAGAAAGTAAATGTAAAGCAGTCCAGGCACGGTGACTCACGCCTTAATCCCAGCACTTTGGGAGGCCGAGGCGGGTGGATCACCTAAGGTTGGGAGTTCGAGACCAGCCTGACCAAATGGAGAAACCCCGCCCCCGTCTCTACTAAAAATACAAAATTAGCTGGGTGTGGTGGCACATGCCTGTAATCCTAGCTACTCAGGAGGCTGAGCCAGGAGAATCGCTTGAACCTGGGAGGCAGAGGTTGCAGTGAGCCGAGATCGCGCCATTGCACTCTAGGCTGGGCAACAAGAGCCAAACTCCGTCTCAAAAAAAAAAAAAAAAGTAAAAGTAAAGCAAAAGTTAGTTACGATTAGAAAATGCATATCAGCAAATTAAAGACTCCAAAAGCTATTTAATTAAAGGGAATTGCTTAATTCTGCCGGATTCCAAATTTTCCTGCTTGATAAATTCCCAGAACCCTTTCAAACGAAACACCAATGATTAGGATTAGGGTGGAGACGGAGGAGCTGGAGTGAACAGGACTCGGCTGGAACACGTCCACGCACGAGTATGAGGTGAGGTGTTCAGGTCAATGGGAACGCCACTCCCCTCGGGAGGACACGGCAGTCTTTTCGTCCTCCTGGGGCTGAACCCGGGACGTCTACACGAGGCTAACGGGACAGCTATTTCTCCGCTCCCTCGTCACAGCCCGCGCGTGCTCCGCTCCGCTTCTCTTTGACCTGCGTATTGCCAGTCCCGTCTCCGTCTTGTCCAGCCCCCGCTGTTGGGAACTGAGATCAGCCTTTCCCAGACTTCCGGTTTTGACTCACTAATGACGGGAAAGCTCCGGACCCTCTTGCGAGACGCGGGGAGGGAAGGGGGGCGGGGCGCGGCGAGAGTAGGGGCGGGGCTCACGATGACGGAGAACAGAAGGGCGGGGAGGGGCGGGGCGAGAGGAGATGTGCGACGGGAGGACGGGCGGGGCTCACGAGTGACGGAAGCAGAAGGGCGGGGCGGGACGAGAGGAGGGGAGGGACGAGCGGAAGGGACGGAAGAGAGGAGGGGCGGGACGAGAGGAGGGGCGGGGCTCACGAGTGACGGAAGCAGAAGGGCGGGGCGCAAGAGCGACTGAGAGCACTACGCGGGTGAGAGGAGGGGCGGGGCGTGGGAGTGACGGGTGTGGGAGTGAGGGGGCGTGGGGGTGACGGGGCGTGGCAGTGACTGGGCACCCAGAGGCCCGAGTCAGAGGCGAGGCGAGGCGTGGGACTGACTGAGGGAGGAGGGCTGGGAGGGGCTGGAGCGCCCCTGGGTGTCCTTGAGCTTGCGGGAAATTCGGGTCACTTTTTCCCCAGGCCTCAGGCCTGCGGCGTCGAATTTGGGGTCTTCGCTAGGCCTGCGAGGTTGGCCGACGTTCAGGGTCGGTGCCCAGGAGATGGGCTGCCTTCCGTGGGGCTGGGCAAGGCACTCTGCCTGGCAGCGCACCTGAGCGGGGGCCGGAGCACAAGGCTGGATGCGGGGCACCTCGGCGTGATTCGCGGCAGCAAGTCTCTTTACCATCCCTACCCTGAGTTCCCCCATTCTCTTTCCCGGAAGCAACCACTGTTACAGTTTTTGCGTGACCTTCCTAGATGATCTCCAGTCGTCCCTTGGTATCCGCGGGCAGATTAGCTCCAGGCCAGCACCCCATACTAAAATCTGCGATGCTCAAGTCCCTCCTATAAAATGGCATAGTATTTACATACAACTACGCACATCCTCCCACACACTTTAAATCAGCTATGGATTACTTGTAATACCTAATACAATGTAGTTATACTGTATTGTTTGTATTTGCATTATTTTTATTGTTATTTTCCCTAATATTTTGGGAATCCGCTGATGTGGGAGGCCAACTAGATCTATGCATGTATCTGTATTAATATGCATAAATATATTTCCTCTATTTTCCCCTTACTCAAAAACCCCACACTATACACACTACTCTTCACCTGAGTCTTTTCAGTTAGCAGTAAGTCTTGAACCTGTCCAAGAGCAGGATGACGTGCAAAATGAGTGATTTAAAACTCTTTCTACAGCTGGGCTTTAAAGTACTTCCAGCTTTTTACTACTATTTTGGCAGAGGGCTCACCTATGGGAATTAAAAGATGCATTTCTAGCCTGGTCATATAATAAGACTTGTCTCTTCAAAATAAAATAAAATTAGCTGGGTGTGGTGGCAGCCTCCTGTGGTCACAGCTACTCAGGAGGCTGAGGTGGGAGAGTCGCTTGAGCCTGGAAAGTCGAGGCTGCAAGTTCAAGTGATTCTCCTGCCTCAGCCTCCCTAGTAGCTGGGATTGCAGCGTGCACCACCACGCCTGGCTAATTTTTGTATATTTAGTACAGACAGGGTTTCACCATGTTGGCCAGGCTCTTCTCAGACTCCTGACCTCAGGTGATCTGCCCGCCTCGGTCTCCCAAAGTGCTGGGATTACAGGCTTGAGCCACTGTGCCTGGCCCAAAGTGAGGAGTTTTCATGCAGCTGGAGAGTAAGGAGGGGGAGTTTCAGAGACTCGAGGGGAAAAGTCTGTGTTTCTTCAGTCTCAGATAATGTCTTGAACAACCAGACTTCCGGGCGTCAGCAGTTGAGCATAACATCCTTAAAGGCATTCATTCAAATCTTCTGCTTTTTTTTTTTGAGACAGGATCTCACTCTGTCGCCCAGGCTGGACTGCAGTGACACGATCTCGGCTCACTATAACCTTCGTCTCCTGGGTTCAAGCGATTCTCCCACCTCAGCCTCCTGAATAACTGGGACTACAGGCACATATCACCCAGCGAATTTTTGTTTTTTGTTTTTTTCTGGTAGAGATGAAGTTTCTCTATGTTGGCCAAGGTGGTCTCAAACTCCTGACCTCAAGTGATCTGCCCGCCTCTGCCTCCCAAAGTGCTGGGATTACAGGCATGATCCACCATGCCTGGTCCTTCTGCAATTTTTTTTTTTCAAGACCCTGAAGTTATATTCTTCTGCTTGGCAAAGAAAACAGTACATCAGCAGTTTATAATTATATTGTAGAAGGAATATTGGGCAAAACACAAGTGCAAGCAAGCAAGGGCCTGTTCGGAATTTTCATCCTTTCAGTCACTAAAAATGCTGGTGTGGTAAAATCTCAAGGGGTCCGGTTTATAAAATGTACCTTAGAAATTCCATGGGAAGCCATAGTCTTGTTTCTTTTCATAAACAAGGCCTGTCTGTCTGCCCCTGGATTTCCCTCTTGTATCCTAGCAAAGATCAGACTTTGTTTTTTGTGTATATTTTTTGATATGGAGTCTCACTCTGTCACCCATGGATGAATGCAGTGCTGCTATCATAGCTCACAGCAGCTTCAAACTCCTGGGCTCAAGCGATCCTCCCATTTCATTCTCCCAAGTCTTTGGGACTACGGGTGTGTGCCAGGGCACCTGACTAGGATCAGACTTTAGAAGATTCTGGCCCCACTGGATGGCACAGGCCCATCACTCTACTATTTCACTGTACTCTCTGTAAAGTCCTGAAATATTCTGACCAACAGGGATGGACTCTTTTCAAGATCCATAGAGCTCTGAGGAATTTGTCCTGTCCTCTTCTTCCCCCACTGCCTCACGTTGCAGGTATCTGCTTAGAAAGGAGCTAATGGAATGGGTAAACTAGGAGTGCTAGAGTAGTTGGTCTGAGACAAGGGTGAGGGGAAGGAATCAACCACTTTGGGATCAGGACAGAGAAGAAAGCAGAGCCACCAGGGCAACTGTAGTTACTCCTTTCTTGCTGCTGTTCGGCTGTAGTTTCCCTCTCCCATACTATCAAGAAGCCCCAGTGAAACCACATGTACCACATTTATGTTTTTTGCTCTGAGATCCATTCCCTGCCCTAACTCTCCCTGTTGTACTTGCAGGGAAACGCATTTCCCCAGGATCCCATCATGCAAAGTGAAAGCCAAAATCCTTGCTGTGTTCCACAAGACCCTTCACCTCCTCCTAGCTCACTCGGATCTGGCTACACTGGTTTTTGCTATTTCTGGGACACAACAGTTTGCTGTTGCCACAGAACCTTTGCACTTTGTGGCCCCTCAGCCTGGAATCTTGTCCTCTAGATATTCTACATGGCTACTTCCCTCACTTCCTTCAGGTCTTAACACAAAAGTCACTTCTCAGGGGGCCTGCCTTAGCCACACTATCTAAAATTTCACATACGAGGACACCCAGATATTTCATATCCTGTTTCCCTCTTTATTTCTCTTTAGCACTTGTCACATCTGACATACTAAATAAAAACTGTTTCCTCTGCGCACACACTTCTGACACCAAATGTGTGAGTTTCCACACCAAACAATTCTGCAGTTCTCAGTGGTCACCAATTGTATGTCCTCCCATCTAACTCGAGTTGGACACTACCTGGAATTAATGAAGTTCCCACAGGTTAAGGACTCAGGCTCACAAGACTGCTCCTCACTTCAGATGCCAATCACAAGTTCCAGATTGTCATCTGTACTTCTCACCAATTGGCTATCAACTGGGGCTTTCCAAACACCCTCCTCCTGTTTGATAATTTGCCATAATTGCTCACAAAACTCAGGGAGACATTTACTTACATTTACCAGTTTATTATAAAGAATATGACAAGTCTGGGTGTGCTGGCATATGCTTGTAATCCCAGCACTTTGGGAGGCTGAGGTGGACAGATCACCTGAGAGGTCAGGAGTTCAAGACCAGCCTGGCCAACATGATGAAACTCCATCTCTATTAAAAATACAAAAATTGGCTGGGTGTAGTGGTGGGTGCCTGTAATCCCAGCTACTCAGGAGGCTGAGAGAATCGCTTGAATTCAGGAGGTGGAGGTTACAGTGAGCTGAGAACGCACCACTGCACTCCAGCCTAGAAAACAGAGTGAGACGGCCGGGCGCGGTGGCTCAAGCCTGTAATCCCAGCACTTATATATATAGGAGGACACCGAGACCCGGCAGGATCACAAGGTCAGGAGATCGGGTAACCATACCTGGCTAACACGAGCGAAACACTCGCCGTCTTACTAAAAAGCAAACACAAAAATTACGCCGCGAGGGTGGCAGTGCCTGTGGATCCCAGCCAACTTGGGAAGGAACTGCGAAGCAGCAGAGAATGGCGGGAACCAGGAAGGCGGAGCTTAGCAGTGAGCATAGGTCAACGGACCACATGCAACTACCCAGCTGGGCGACAGAGCGAGACTTCCGTCTCAAAAAAAACAAAAAAAACAAACAAACAACACAAGAAAAACCAGAGGACATACTGTCTGCAAAATAATACACCTAAGGAAATAATAATAAAAGTATGACAAGATTTACCATGGACAAAGCCAAATGGAAAGATGCACCCACGGGACAAGTATAGGTGAGGGCTTGGAGCATCCATGCTCTATTTAGGCTTGCCACCTTCGTAGCACCGCGATGTGTTCACTAAGCCAGAAACTCTTGGAACCCTGTTGTTTAGGGTTTGGATGTAGATTCTATTACTTAGACAGAATGGATGAAATCATTGACCATTGGAGTCAATCTCCAGCCCCTTTCTCCTCCCCAGAGGTTGGCGATGGAGCTGAAAGTTCCAACCCTCTGATCATTTGATTGGTTTCTCTGGAAACTGGCCCCCATCTTCCAGGAATCACCTCATTAGTATAAACTCAGGTATGCTTGGAAGGGGCTTTTTGTGAATAACAAAAGACACTCCTCTCACCCCTATTACTTAGGAAATTACAAGTGTTTTAGATCTGTGTTAGGAACTAAGGACAAAGATCAAAAGTATACTTCTTCACAACATCACACAAACCACATATTTTATTAGCTGCCTCACGAAGTAGGATGTAAACTCCATGAGGACACGGATTTGTTTTTTGTTTGAGATAGGGTCTCACTCTGTTGCCCAGGCTGGAGTGCACTGGCACTGAAATGGCCTTGTTACCTGGAGTAACACCTGAGGTTCGTTGTCTCACAGCCACCAAGAATAAGGATGCAGACACACAAAGAGTGAGGTTGAGAGTGGAAGTTTAATAGACGAAAGAAAGAGAATAGCTCTCTGCTGCAGAGAGGGGTCCTGGAAAAATGGGTTGCCAGATCTACAGTGAAATGCAGGGGGTTTTATAGATGAGCTGGTGAGGAGGCAGAGTCTGATCTACATAGCGTGCAAAAAACTGGTCTGACCAGGTGTGCTATTTGCATAGGATGGGAATCTCTGGCTTCCTCCACCCCAATCTTTGATTATGCAGGCAGGTCCACTGCCTGAGCTGCACCGTGTTGCCCATTTCTTTATTACTATACATATGGTAACAAAAAAAGGGAAGATGGAGCCTCCATGGTGGACATGCCTGACCCCCCGGGTACCCCTTTTCTATTGGCATAGCTGCCAGCATTCCCCTGTGCAAGCTTCGAGCTTGCTTACCCATGTTTGCAGCTCAATTTTTCAGCCTGCTGTTTCTTAGAAATGATTTTGGGGGCTGCTTTTTTGTTAGCAAAGAAATTCTACTGAGGACTTTTCTGTGCTCACTATCTGCCTAAATAATTTCTGTCTCCTGTATCAGCACAATCATGGCTCACTGCAACTTCTGCCCCCAGGCTCAAGCGATCCTCCCATCTCAGCCTCCCAAGTAGCTAGGACCACAGGTATGAACCACCATGTCTGGATAATTTTTGTGTTTAGGTAGAGCCTAGGTTTTGCCATGTTTGCCCAGGCTAGTCTTGAACTCCTGGGCTCAAGTGATCAGACTGCCTGGGCTCAAGCCGTCCTCCTGCCTCAGCCTCTCAAAGTGCTAGAATTACAGGAATAAGCCACCGCACCTGTCCATACAAAAAAACTTTTTTTTTTTTTTTTGAGATGTAGTCTCGGTCTGTTGCCTAGGCTGCAGTGCAGTGGCACGATCGCGGCTCACTGCAACCTCTGCCTCCCAGGTTCAAGCGATTCTCCTGCCTCAGCCTGCTGAGTAGCTGGGATTACAGGCATGAGCCACAGCGCCCGGCCATATAAAATTTTTGATTAAAGAAAAATTTAAGGCTGGGTGTGGTGGTTCATACTTATAATCTCAACACTTTGAGAGGTCAAAACCCGAGGATCTCTTGAGGCCAGGAGTTCAAGGCCAGCTAGGCAATTTAGTGAGACTCACTTTCTACCAAAAAAAGTTTAAAAATTAAACTTTAGCAGTTTAAATTAATTTTTAATTTTTAGAAATTAAAAATTAGCAGGCCTGGCCGGATGTGGTGGCTCACACCTGTAATCCTAGCACTTTGGGAGGCCAAGGTGGGTTGATCACCTGAGGTCAGGAGTTTGAGACTAGCCTGGCCAACATGACAAAATCTTGTCTCTACTAAAAATGCAAAAAATAGCCAGGCGAGGTGGCAGGCACTGTAATCCTAGGAGGCAGAGGTTGCAGTGAGCCAAGATCAATGGCACTCCAGCCTGGGTGACAGAGCGAGACTCTGTATAAAAATAAAACATCTATCTCTCTCTCTCTATGTGTGTGTGTGTGTGTGTGTGTGTATATGTGTGTGTATATATGTGTGTGTGTGTGTATATATGTGTGTGTATATATGTATGTATGTATATATAGTAGGCTCTGGTGATGCATGCCTGTAGTCCTGATATAGGAGGTAGAAAGAAATTATTTAGGCACTCCAGCCTGGGTGACAGAGCAAGACCCTGTAAAAACAAACAAAAACAAAAAACAAAAAACAAAAAGCCTCACGCCTGTAATCCCTAGCACTTTGGGAGGCCGAGGCAGGTGGATCTCCTGAGGTCAGGAGTTCGAGACCAGCCTGGCCAACATGGCGAAACCCCATCTCTAAAAATACAAAAATAGCCGGGTGTGGTGAGGCACCTGTAATCCCAGCTACTTGGGACGCTGAGGCGGAGAATCCCTTGAACTCGGGAGGCAGAGGTTGCAGTGAGCTGAGATCGCACCATTGCATTCTAGCCTGGATGACAAGAGCAAACTTTGTCTCAAAAAAAAAAAAAAAAAAAAAAAGTACAGGTTGAGTATCCTTTATCTAAAATACTTGGGACCAGAATTGTTTCAAATTTTGATTTTTTTCGGATTTTGGAATATTTGCATTATACCCACCCTAGTTGAGTATCTCAAATCTGAAAATCTGTAATCCAAAATGCTCCAATGAGCATTTCCTTTGATCATCCTGTCAGCACCCAAAACGTTTAGGATTTTGGAATGTTTTGAATTTCAGATTTTCAGATTTGGGATGGTCGACCTGTATTTTATATGAATATTCCAAACAGCCTTCAAATATGTGGGCTTTTTAATTTTTTCTGGGAAATACTAAAAAATTATAATAAGGGAGGAGATCACCCCTTATATTGTCTTATGCCCAATTTCTGCCTCCACAGAAAGAAGACGTAAAAACTAAAAGCAGAAATGGAATCCACAGGCAGATAACCCAACTCTGTGCCCTGGGCCTGGTAGTTAAAAATCAGCCCCTGAGCTCACTGCTTGTGTTTTCTATAGATTTCAGACACTGTATGGAAAAGCATCATGAAAATCCCTGTCCTGTTCTGTTCCGTTCTGATTACCGGTGCATGCAGCCCCCAGTCACGTACCCCCTGCTTGCTCAATCACGACCCTCTCACATGGACCCCCTTAGAGTTGTAAGCCCTTAAAAAGGATAGGAATTGCTCACTTAGGGAGCTCGGATTTTGGAGACGTGAGTCCACCGATGCTCCCAGCTGAATAAAGCCCTTTCCTTCTGCAACTCAGTGTCTGAAGGGGTCTTGTCTGCGGCTCCTCCTGCTATAATAATAGCTATGTTAAGGCTTAACAGACATACAATAAACTGAACATATTTAAAATGTACAAGTTTTGACATGTGTATACATCTGGGAAATTATCACCACAATTCAGGTCTGATTTACAGGTTAGGCACAGTTCATAGGGCCTACTTTTTTTTTTGAGATAAGATTCTCTCTGTTGCCCAGTCTGGATCTCCGCTCACTACAACCTTCGCCTCTGAGGCTCAAGCGAGTCTGAAGCCTCAGCCTCCAGAGTAGCTGGGATTACAGGCTAATAGTTATATCTTTAGTTTCGCCATGTTGGCCAGGCTGGTCTCAAATTCCTGGGCTCAGGCGATCCGCTCACCTCAGCCTCCCAAACTGCTGGGATTAAAGGCGTGAAACACCTTGCCTGGCCGAAAAATGTTTTAAATTCAAAATGCTGTAATGGAGGCTGGGTGCAGTGGCTTTTTTTACTCAGCATACTTGAGATTCATGTTATTGTATATATGAGTAGTTCTGTCCTTTTTTTGGCTAACATTCCATTGTATGGATTAGTCTTTAACTTGTTGATTGACATTTGGATTGTCTACAGTTTGGGGCTATTACAATAGAGCTGCTGTGAACGTGTGTGTACAGGCTTTTGTATGGGCATATGCTCTGTTTACTCTTGGTAAATACCTAGGAGTGGAATGGCTGAGTCATATTGTAGTAGTTTAACGTTTTTAAAAACTACCAAACTGTTTTCCAAAGTGAGTGTACCATTTTACATTCCCATCAGCAGTGAATGAGTGTTCTGGTTTCTCCACCTCCTTGCCAACTTGGTATGGTCAGTCTTTTAAATTTTAGACAGTCTGATATGTGTGTAGTGGTATCTCATTGTGTTTTAAATTTGCATTTCCCTAATGATTAATGACATTCCCTAATGATTAATGACGTTGGCCATCTTTTCATGTGATTATTTGCGATCCATATATCTTCTTTTATCAAGTGTCTGTTCAAATTGTTTGTCCCTCTTTTAGGAGAGTTGTGAAAATAATCTTTTAATTGAAAATGTACATTGTTTCCACCTGATTTAGAACCTAAGAATCTTGAAAGGAAAGAGAAAGAACTAACATTTCTGTGACTGAGAACTGGACGGTGACAAATGAGAAAATAAACACAATAAAGGCAAGTTTGGTGGGGGTGACAGAGCAGAGCGACTTGTGATCCCCGCTCCGTCACCACGTTCGGTTCGGTTCGGTTCGTTCCTCTGGACTACGGCGTTAATGATGCCGGCAATCAGCGCAAAGTGAGATAATCACCAGCGCACTCTTGGATCTCTATGCAGGTTTGTAAACTATGTGGAGGAAACGAACCCGTCGCAGTCTCAGCGGAAGAGGCCGGAGTAGGAGCCGAAGCCTGAGCAGGTTCCGAAAAACAGACCGGCCGTTCAGGACTAGGCCCTGAACCACAACTTGCTCCTCAGGGGTCCGGGTCGGAAGTGACGACTTCATTCACTGAGCAGCCATTTCCGGTCCCCAGTGTGCCCGGAGTGCCTTCTGGGTTTCAGAAAAGACACAGAAACTGACGGGGCGGAACCGCGACACGGCGGTGCCTGCTGATGTCAAAAGGTCTCACGGCTCCGGGGGGACCCAGTCGCCCACAGCCGCCAGGGGCGCTGCCGGCTCCGAGCCCGTTGTCGAGAGCCGCTCCGCTGCTCGTGTCTGCCCTTCAGTCCTTCCAACTCTTCTGGGACCTAGAGTTCCGGGATCTCACTGCGAGCTTGGAGGATTCCTATGTAAAATTCGAAAGGATATGGGGAAGGAAAAAACAAAAACACACCTCACTTTGTTTCCGCCCGGTTTCGAACCGGGGACCTTTCGCGTGTGAGGCGAACGTGATAACCACTACACTACGGAAACTAAGTGGCAGCTGGGGTTTTGCAAACGGCTCTTAAAAGGTAGCGCCTCATCACTGCGTCCCTGATCCAAGAGAAAAGTACCCGGCGGGCCAACCACAGCTTCGGGATGGGGGCGCGCAGGGAAGTAGCCAGCAAAGCAGGTAAAGCCCGGGCTGCTCGCGGGGGATCATGACCGAGGGCACAGGGGTGAACTCCATGGTGCTTCCTTAGGAAATTTCTGGCACAGTCAGGGCTGCCGCCATAGCCCTGAGACAGTGGGGCAGGGCTCCAGGCGTCCTCGAATGCTCGTCGTTGAGTTTTCCTGATCCTGTCGGGTCCCTAAGGAGCTTGGCGGGGAGCGTGGACGCCCTGGGGCCAGGCCACCGCGGCCACTGAGAGCCCCACCCGGGGACTGGAGAAAAACGAAGTAGAAGAGACCCAGGGGACAGACTTGGCCAGGTCAAGGGAAACCAGCTCATATTTAGAACAAAGTACGCCTTAGATTTGCCCAGCACTGAATTTAGAAGCATTTTCACATTCTCGTGTTTAACTAGTTTTACAACAGTGCCGCGAGCGAAGTATTAAACGTGTTTTAAAGATGAAGAGACTGAACCTAGGTAAATTGTACTTGGGTAAGATGGAAGCGCTACTTAACATTAAGGAGAGTCTGCGACCCTGATGTTCTCAGGCTGTCTCGCTTAGTGGGACTACACGTTATTATTGTCCGAGGAAGCAAACGAAGAGGAAAGAGACCGTGGAGAGTATTCCTGGAGGGACTCAAGATACCTCTCTAGGTAGAACCCCAAGATACCTGTGTAGAGTAACAGCTTATGTCGAATGACCTCATCTTTTCCACTGCTGTGGGTGAAATTATCTGAGGAGGTAGGAAGAGGAGATGGTTTAGGGATGCCATATGACAAAGGCTTTGGAAAATTAAGAAGAGGCCGGGCGTGGTGGCTCACACCTGTAATCCCAGCACTGTGGGAGTCCAAGTGGGCGGATCTCACCTAGGATCAGGAGTTCGAGACCAGCCTGGCTAACATGGTGAAACGCCATTTCTACTAAAAATACAAAAATTAGCTGGGCGTGGTGGCGCGCCCCTGTAATCCCAGCTACTCGGGAGGCTTAGGCAGGAGAATAGCTTGAACCCAGGAGGCTTAGGTTGCAGTGAGCCGAGATCACGCAATTACACTCCAGATTGGATGAAAAAGCAAAACTTCGTCAAAAAAAAAAAAAAAAAAGAAGAGAAGGATGAGAGAATTACGAGGCAGCAGTGAAGACTTACATGCTGTTGTGTGATACAAATGCCCAGGGGCTAGCATGGAAGGATGTTGACTGACTGCGCCAGGAGCTCTAATCTAGCAAGAACCTAGAGGAGAAAGTGGGTTGTGGGATGAATAAGCAAAGGAAGAGGGTTAAGGAGTTGGGGGTGGTAGTGAGAGAGCAAAAGAGGAGCACCTGGTTACAGGTTGAGGCTGTGCAGTATGTAGAAAGACATCAGAGATGTTCAATAGTGCTCACTTCAGCAGCACATATACTCACATTGGAATAGTACAGAGAAGATGAACATGGTCCCTGTGCAAGGTTGATGCACAGATTCATGAACGGTTCCTTTTTTTTTTTTTTTAAAGAAATGTCCAATGGACTGAATGCTAGACAGATAATAGTTTATCAGGTTAAGGCATTTTATCAGAAAATTGGCTTAAATAATAAAGGGAAAATATTGCCTCACAACCCTAGGTAGATCTGGGTTTCAGGTAAGTCTTCATACAAGGCTCAAAGAAGTCTCTGGGCCAGGCACGGTGGCTCACGCCTATAATCACAGCACTTTGGGAGATCGAGGCAGGCAGATCAACTGAGGTCAAAGATTCGAGACCAGCCTGGTATTACTAAAAATACAAAGTAATTAGCCGGGCATAGTGGTGCACACCTGTAGTCCCAGCTATGTGGGAGGCTGAGGCATGAGAATTGCTTGAACCCAGCGGGTAGAGGCTGCAGTGAGCCGAGATTGTGCCACTGCACTCCAGCCTGGGCAACAGAGTGAGACTCCATCTCAATTAATAATAATAAAAAAGAAGTATCTGGTTTATCTTGGTCCTTCTTCTTCAATGTGGACTCCATTCTGGGGCAGACTCTCTATTCATGTTTTCAAAGTGCCCACCATGGGTAGCTTGAGCTATAGGTTCCCTTGTTCACGGCCAGCAGAAAAAAGTGTGTACTTCTTGGAGAACTCATTATCGTGTAACAGGGATGGGATATGCTGCTTCGTTTAAATAATTAGGGCCTACTCCTGAGGTCCGGGGTAAGATTAACCCTACTCAAACTCTATGGCTGACAAATTCAGGGTACCCGTAAGAAGGGAATAGGATGTTGTAATGCTAAGGTGGCAACCAACAAACATTCTCTTCAGAGGGTAAGACCACAGTGCTACAGAGAGTGGAGAAGAATGGCATATACTTCCAGAAACTAGAGCTGATGTTAGGAAAGGTTCCACTCTAAGGGCTTCCCCGCTAAGGGAGTTCTCCCATGAGTAGCTTTCACTATGCGACATCAGATGAGACCTAAGATAGCCCAGGACACAGGATCCTCCCATCGAAGAGGCCACTTTCAATGTGGGCTAGTCTCTGCCCCTCCGTGCCAGGAACTGAAGAGGCTGTGCCAGTACCTTTTCCCCTGATCAGTCTCTGGGAAGGCAAAGCTTTTATGCATCTGGCCTCAGTGGTCAGCGAGACTGTGGGATCGTCCTGAGGGCCAGGAGGTCCTGGAGTTCAACCTCAGGACATCATATCTGGCTTAAGACGATCACTCTTCATGCCCTGCTCATCACTGTTCCTCACCATAGTTTCTCCCTAATGCAGTGCCTTGTGGGGAGCTATTTCCCTGAGTACACAGTGATAACAGGATGTGAATCACCTTTTTTCTGGGCAGAGGTGGTGGAATTTTTTACCATCATGAAGCTGAGGTTCCTTCCCCATTCTGAGTTGAATAACCCAAATCTTGGCTCCTAGAGCTTCTCATATCTCTAATTCCTTATAAAACTTAACTCTGTCCCCAACTCTTTACTATCCCATTGCTCGGTATCTTCCACCACGTCCTCCTTCTGGAGATTCTGAGGCCGGGCGCAGTGGCTCATGCCTGTAATCACAGCACTTTGGGAGGCTGAGCTGGGTCGATCACCTGAGGTCAGGAGTTCGAGACCAGCCTGAGCAACATGATGAAACTCTATCTCTACTAAAAATACAAAAATTAGCTGGGCGTAGTGGCAGGCACCTGTAATCCCAGCTACTTGGAGGCTGAGGCATGAGAATTGCTTGAACCTGGGAGGCAGAGGTTGCAGTGAGCCCAGATGGCACCACTGCACTCCAGCTTGGGTGACAAAGCAAGACTCTGTCTCAATAAACAAAAACAAAAACAAAAAGACTCTGATACCCTATAATATATAATTTTATGGCAGCAGGAGGCAATAGGGCAAAGGATTTCTTCCTTTGTGGTGTAGATGGAGTGGTGATGATGGAAAGATAAGGAATGTTATAAAATGAGTCTTCAGTAGAGGAGTCTAGTCTCAGGGAAGAAAACTGGACATTAAATTTGTAATCTGGAAAGGAAGTAGAGGAGTTAACTACAGTTTTGAAACTAGTTTTTATGGCTTCCATATTTCACCTTTTAACCTTGATGCTATATAGTTTTTCAAAGAGGCACAATTGTTTTGATTAACTACATAGAAAATGAAGCGGAATTAGTAAACTATTACAATACAATACAATACAATACAATAGTTCATTAAGATTGCTGGCTACAAAATCAACATTAAAAAATCAGAAATTGGCCGGGCGCTGTGGCTCACGCCTGTAATCCCAGCACTTTGGGAGGCCGAGGTGGGAGGATCACGAGGTCAGGAGATCGAGACCATCCTGGTCAACACGGTGAAACCCCGTCTCTACTAAAAAAATACAAAAAATTAGCCGGGACGCAGTGGGGCGCTGTAGTCCCAGTATCCGGAGGCGAGCAGGAGAATGCGTGAACCCGGGAGGCGGAGCTGCAGGAGCGAGATCGCTGGCCCACTTTACTTCCAGCCTTAGGAGACAGAGCGAGGAGCCGTCTCAGAAAAAAAAAAAAAAAAAAAAAATAATAATAATAATAATAATAAATCAGAAATTTCCACCACATCCGCAATAATCGCCTAGAAAATATGAGAAAATAACATATAATTCATGATAGAATAAAATCATAATGTGTCTAAGAACAAGCCACAGAATAAATGCACATAACCTTTGTATTGAGAAACACTTAAAATTATTCAAGGGCAAGTTGAAAACTAATTAAGTGAAGAGATTTACCTTATTTATAAATGAGGTGATTTAGTATTATAAAGATGTGAATTTCCTCCATGTTCTCCTGCAAGACCCATGCGATGTCAATATATCAACAGAATGGCTTATATAACTTGACAACTGATTGTAAAATTTATATGAATGCATAAATCCATGGATAATCAACGGAATTTTGACAAAAGAGAATAAGGAGACTCATTGTAACTGATAACTGGGGGAAGGGGGGAAGCATTTGCTCCAGTCCATGGTGCCAGCTCCAGACACCTCCCGTGGAGGAGTCCAGTGAGCTGCCACTGGATGCTAAGTCTGAGGTCACCAACTAGCTTGTAGATTTTATTTTCTTTTTTTTGAGATGGAGTTTCACTCTTTTTTTTTTTTTTTTTTTTTTTTTTGAGAGGGAGTCTGGCTCTGTTGCCCAGGCTGGAGTGCAGTGGCGCGATCTCAGCTCACTGCAAGCTCCGCCTCCTGGGTTCAGGTCATTCTCCTGCCTCAGCCTCCCAAGTAGCTGGGACTACAGACACCTGCCACCACGCCCAGCTAATTTTTTTTGTATTTTTAGTGGAGACAGGGTTTCACCATGTTACCAGGATGGTCTCGATTTCCTGACCTCGTCATCCACCCGCCTCGGCCTCCCAAAGTGCTGGGATTACAGGCGTGAGCCACCACCCCCGGCCAGCTCTTGACCTTTTTAAAGGCTTACAACTTTAACGGGTCCACGTGAAAGGGTCGTGACAATAGAAAAAAATGGGTAAAGAATGTGAATAGTCCAACTTAAGAAGGGGAAAGCTAAGTAGCTAAAAATATGAAGACATGATGAACCTCACTAGTAA